GGTCTCCAATGGTGTTACTTGGGAAAGAAATTGCCTCAGCTTGGCTGTTGCCTGCACGTTGTGCTTTGGGACAGAGCAGTGACCCTGGTATCACCAAGTGCTCAGGAATACTGACACTCCAGGGACACCTCCACACACAGATCCAGCTCCATCTTAAGAAGGAATTTCTAAGGGGTGTCTCATGGCATAGTTCACAGTAACAAGTCTAAGCCTGACCTGCTAAAACATACACAAAAGGGATAAGCCATACTGACAGGTACAAAGGGGACGCCTCTGCAGTGGTGATATCTCCTAGTGGCTGTCACGAGTGGAAAGTAACAGGACACAATCTCTTTGTCACAGGGCTGAAGCACACTCAGCTTGAAAAAGACTAAGAGCCAGCCTTCAGCACATTAAATTGAAAGGTGGAGAGAAAAGCTTCCAAAAACATAAAGGGCAGATGTCTGGTGAGAGTTAACAAAAAGGTTCATCTGACGGGTTCATTTGTCAGCTTCTTGTATAAGTCTTGAGATAACACCTTGTTGGATTCATAAAACACAAATGCACTAGATCAGCAGCAATTTCCCCTTTGGACTGGACTCTAATCAGGGTACCTTGGTAGCCTTGCCCTCCTTTTGCATCTTTCTGAAAGCACATTTTAATGTGGGTTTGCAGACTCTGAACTGCAGCCTGAACATGGTTTGAACTCTTACTGAACCACTAACAGCTGCACATTCCCTTTGAGGCTACAACAGGAGCTGAAAAGAAATCATGTTTGATTTTTCCACTTTGGGGGGCAGGTGAGAAGAGCTCACATAATGCATTATGGTGCAGCTTGCAGTGGTGGTGGTCTCTTTTGGTGCCACAACTCATTTCTGTGAAGATAACTATGCAGGATGAAGTAAGTGCTATCCTTCAGTGTCTCTAGACTGCTGACAAACATTACACTGCTCTCCAACACTGATGGAATACAGAAGAGAAAACACAGAGCATGACTTCCCAAAAACGGGCAAAAATTTTGGTCCTCTCTGGAGGATGTTCTGGGAAGAGGCAGAGGATAAATGGGGTCAGAACAGCCCTTCCCAGCTCCATGCAACCAAGTGTAAATCAACAGTAACAGAGATGTTACCTCTGAGGGGCTGTGTGAAGCTTGTGGCAGACAACAGCACAGTAGGGAAAAAACTGCAATGCATATCTGCTCTCCACAGCCAAGAGATCACAGTCAGGATGAACACACTTGCTGGAAGCTTTGCTTCAGAAGGGAGAGAATCAAAACCATGGAAGGATGGCAGGGTTTGTCTCACTGTAAATACCGGCATTTATAATGGAGAACAAAGAGTCACCAGATGCCTGTTGCAAGACACTCATGGTTTGCTTTTCACAATGTCATTTAATGATGTTTGTACTAAGATTTCATACAGTAGTAGTTCTTTAACTTAAGTAATTACATTTTCTGCTTGTAGGAAATGGTCTCCTTTGACCAGACCAAAGGAGCCATTGTCCCACCAATCATACTGCATAATCAGCTACTAACATTTGTTTTAAGGCACTGCCATTTCTTAGAACTCTTACCTTTTTATTAAAGGACAATGAAAGCCTAAAACCAAGAGAATACTCTTCCCCAAATACATCCCCTTCATTAGACATTGAACAATAAATGGCATAGGAAGATGGCATAAATAGTTACAAAACTATCTAAAGCCTCTGCCTATGAACTCAAAAAATACTAATTTTCACACAGTTCTAGAGTCCTAATACATAAAGTTATACTAAAGCAATATTAAATCCTCTACATCTTCCATCCACACAAACAAAGCAGTCCCCTCCTATCCCTCCAAAGCTTCCAGCCTCAAATATCCTGGCATAAAACGATCAGACAAAATAGGTGACTTATGTTTTTATTGGTTCCTCCAGACTATGACGACATTTCCTAAAACACTGAGCCAGGAAACTGTTACCATCTCTGAAAAAGTGGAAAGGGTCAGGCTATTTCAAAGGATGTGTTTGCTAAGAGGCCTTTGTTATATATGTATAGGCCACTTAAGATTTTGTTAATAATAACAAAAGTATTTTGCATTCCCGTAACATTTCTAGCTCCAAGGTATATTGTCAACATATTTGTTATATTGTGTTACAAATTTGTTCTTGTATTTCTTGTGTTATGAAAGTATTACCCCTTTTCACCTTTCTGAGAATTAAAAGAAGGTTAATAAACATGCCTAAGATTCTGTAAAGTAGGATAACGATTCCAAAATCAGAATTACCCACAGATCCGTATGCATTCCTAATCTCAGGCTGTTATTGGAGAGAGAAATTAAAATGGTCTCAGCTTATCACCATTATAAAAATGAAAGACCTGGAAGATTTTTTAGATTTATCTCAGCTGTGTTGGACTGCATTTGGCAGCACAAGTGAGGTCAGGGACTTGCAGGTGGGGTCAGAGATCCCTTAAAAAAACTCTGTGTTATATGCAAGCACTAAACCAGAGCAACCAGTACTCCAACAGGAGCATAGCACAATGCATGCAGGACAGAGAGATCTCACAGAGACTCTTCAAAACTTTCCAGTTTTCTAGCACATGCTACATGTATATAGCTCTTCGTTTTGGCTGCTTTGTCAGTAGGTCTGGGAAATATCAAGGGGGACACAAAAGACTTGCACTAAAGCTTCGGAAGTAAAGACGCTCCGAAGATATTACCCCTTCTTTTGTGGCCAGAACAATGTCACCCACAAACCCAGTTCTAATCCCGACTGCACAAGAATACATACAAAGGTCAGCTCCCTAATGCAGGAGTGCCAAGCAGATAGTACGATTTGTTTCACAGAGGAGAGAGCTGAGGCATCCTAAAGGAAGTACAAGTCACTCTGTTTTTACTGACTAAGGAACTTCACTCATCTGTCACATCTCAAGCAATCACAGTCGGGTGAGACGACAAACGCTGCAGGTAAAAATCCCACTATTGCATAGTGCCACCTCCTGGGCAAACAAGACTGGAAAAACATCCTCATGTGTCCCTTCCCTCCTGCAGCATCCAACATTTTAGGGTTGCCTCCCAAGCTCTGGCAGGCCAGACATTACCTCTGTTCTCAAAAAGCAGGCTACGAATTAAAGAGAAGAAGAGCAGATTGTTTACAGCTCTCCCCATGAAACACGAGCTGCAGCAATCCCACTCTTGAGTGAGGCTGTATCTGCATAGGCAAGCACCACACAATCCCACAGGATTAAGTTCACTCTGGGTTGCTGGCTAATCACAAATTAGCAATCAGGGCTTCCTTTCAACATCCAAACAGGAAATGGGAGTGGAGGAAGTGAAAGCTTAATAATTTCTTGCATGTTAACAAGTTACATGAGCCACTCCAATAAAAAAGCTTTGCTAAGTGAACTTAAACCTAGCATACAGTCTGCCCAAAATGGCAAGCATTTCTCTTTAACACCAAGCAGTCTGTGCATTTTGGAAAGACAATGGATGCAGACATTTAAATCAGCATAATTTAATTTCCAGGATAAGAGGACATCAAGCAGTGATCGGAAGTTGAGGATCCTACTTTATTGTAGTCACTGGTGTTGAGACTACAACCCCCAAACCAAACCCACGGTGATAATCTTGGCATCCCTCTTGAAATTTAGTAAAAAAACCGGCAACATTTTAGTTATCACAAACTGTTAAATCCATAATGGCCTCTGACAAAGGAGCAAGAAAATCAGGCCTAACTTGAGCTCCATTTCTTTCCACTATCTTTTAGGGGTACTGTACTCTTTGGCTGTGGACACTGTAATATTTACCTGGCCACACACAGTTAAGTGCCAGGAAAGCTGGGAAATGTAAGACACTGACAACCCTAAAATGACTAAAGGAGCACAGGACTTTCAGGCCTCCATGTCAAGCACAGCAAGGAACATCTCTCCATGTTTAGGTTATGAGATCACAGCCCCTGGCAACTGGAAAAAGCCTGGCCCATAATACACTCCTAATTTGGTACTATCTTCTCAGCAGGAGGAGGAAAAACAATTTTGTGCAACTGTTGAGCAATTCTCAAGAGTTCAAGACAGATGAAAGGCCAGTTTCTTGGTTGCCTAAAGATATTAAGACAGATTAGGGACAAAAGTAAGAGGACTTAAATGGGTGGATGTAGACTGATGTTTTGAGGGAACAAAACTGCAAGGTAGAATCCTTTGTTTTTTATGGATGTTGCCAACAAAAAAAAATGTCTTGGAAGAACTCTGCAGTATACAAAGAGATTATTTCAGTGGGCTGCATGAAGAACAGAACAGAAGCAAAGGAATTTGGAAAAGAAACCCCGCTGACAATATAACCACTACACAATCTCATTATCTCCCAGGGATGCAAGCAAGAACAGACACATAACATAGATAGTTACCATGGCCCACAATAAATTGGCTACAGTAAATAAGGAGCTAAAGCTGCTTTTTTTGTGTGGGTGCCTGATCTGCATTATGGAGTGTGAAAGTTTTCTCCCTACTTTCAGCAGCAGAGACATGGGCACTCCTAGTTCCAGTGCAGCATTTACCATGAAGTGTTGTCTGCCATTAGCTGCCTCAATGTACTTGTTACACCGTGCACAGAGCTGCAAAAGCAGACCTTGCTGTGGACTCTTATATTATTGTTCTGAGCAAGAAAAACAATGGAAAAAGACTGTTGTACATGAACATCTAAATTTCCATCCTGCATCCTTCAGATTGTTTTCACAGTAGGCATTCACTATTTCCAAGGTGTGGCAGGAGCCAGAGCAGGTATTTAATCAGCCTGGGTTTTAAACCATCTATTTGTAAAAACTCTCCAGAAGAGTTATGAAAGCTGAAAAGCTAAGACTGCTGCGTTTGGTGCTAGGGTGTCTATTTCATAAGACATAATCATTGGTAGGTATTAAATCTGTCACTGGCAACACCAATAACTCCTTCTACAGTACTCATATTGTGACCTTGCACTTTAACACTCGTGGTATCAACTGTGTCCAAGAGTTATTTCTGTGGAGTCACTAACTAACCATTTCTTTTTTAGGATGTTTGCACCCAGGGCAGCAACGCCACTTCCTACTACGTGATAAAGACCATGAGGACTTTGCAGGACTGTCACCTGCACCATTGCCAAAATGACGGCATCTGCCAGAACATTCAGGTTTCCAGACTGTGATGCTCCAGCAGGTTAGCTAATCTTCACTTAACTTCTGTTAAGTACCAAATGGTTTTCCTTAAGCCAGAGACTTCTAATTTTCCTTCCCTCTACTTCCAGTGAGAGAGTTAAGAGTTTCCAAACAAGGTTCTTTGGCAAGGAGTGCTGATGAGCTTGTATCCGTTTAGCAGCTATCACTCTATCAACAATCCACTGTCAAAAAATGGAGGAGGAATTTGCTTGACAACGTGAGGGGCAAATTATGATGTGTCCTTCTTGCCCTACATTCATGTAACATCCAAGGCTCACATGTGTTATTCACTTTAGTGTGTAAAGGAAGGTGTAGTTGTGACCAGTTTCTCTGGATCAGACACCAGGTAGCTGTTAAATAATATTAAGAATGATTTCATCATGAGATGCTTGTACTGGATCTCACCCAAAACCTTTTTATATTGCATCTATTACTGTTTTGCTGCAAATGTGGTCTTAAAGCAAAGTAAGAACTTTGATGACTATATGCATGAGATCATCCAGAAGAGGAAACTGCATGTTTACAGAGGTGTGGAAACCCTTGACAAAACAGATTATCTTTTTCAGTCTGTATTCCAAAATAAAGGTTTTCTTGGATGAACTCAGGAGTTCCCTGAGTTTTGTTCATGGAGAGCAACCTAATGGGTATGACATCAGGCTAGGGGATGCATGATAAAAAGAAAAAAAAATCAGCAGGACAGTGCAGAAAAGCCACAATTTGAAAATCTTCCTGAGGGTCAGATACTTAGCAGCTTTCCAAGTTAGTCTCTGGGAGCCCCTGACTCAGATGTTGAATTCTGTGAGGAATATAACTGATCCTTGTGTGGAGTTTTCCTCCTCAAAGACATATTTCCAAAGGTTGTCTTTTTTATGATGACTACTGGGCTCTGTGTTACACAAACAGAAGAATGACAAGAGCAGACATGCTAACCTTTCAATTTATATGGTAGCTGTAAATGCTTGTATAAGCTCAAAACAAGTGGTAGTCTTACTAAGGAGGCCTCCAGCTCTCGAAGCAGCTCACATATTTAGGTGGTGGTGGAAGGGAAGGGGCTCTTAAATCTTAAGTAGAATTTTAAAGTTAATTTTCATAGTCTAAAGACTTGAGAAGGTAATGATAATTTGTGGTTTCCTCTAGAATACCACTGTCATTGTGGTCGTGTTGAGTTATTTGCATAATCTGGTTCCTCTGTACCACAAACATACAAAAATAGGAAATATTTCTGCTTTGCATCACCTCTGCCAGTGAGATATTGCCTAGAGAGGGAAACGGAACAGCTGTGGAAATGACTGCTATAAAGGATATCAGCTTCCATTTACACCCCTTCAAGTGCAAGTGACAACTGTAAACGGCACCTAAGATTTGAGCACACAACTGTGCCAGTTAATAAGTCACTAATGGAAAAAGATGAAGATTTTTGTTTCGCAGGTGCTGCCCTGCACTTAAACTTTCAGTGCATATTTTCAAAGGCGTCTCATTCCCAGCTGCACACAGATTTACAAAATAAGAGATGTTAGCAACTTGTTCTCCAGTTTGCAGGGGTGGCTGGCAAATTAATGGAGAACGTCTACCTTACTCCTTTGGTACAAGCAGGTGTAATGGAGAATTCCCTTCTGCCAAAAGAAACTACCTGAGGAACAAAGTAGGAGTCTTTCTCAGCAAACTCTTTGACTTTTAATTCAGATGTTATGAGGGGGAAAGCCATCAGTGAAATGGAGAAGCTAACAGATAAAAATCTCTGGAAAGTCCTCTCTGCTCAGAGCTCAGGAAAACTCAGTTATGCAGGGAGATATGGCATGAGCCCCACACTCCCCCAAGATGCAAGGGACTCCTTGAGGGTGTGAGAGCTGCAGTCCTAACCAAAAAATTTATTTTGTCTCTATTAGTCTGGCAGACCTAACAATGATCGTCTCAGCTTCTGGGCAGGGAAAGCACGTGTTGGGTCACACACTCATGTCATGCTGGATCACGGGGTACTGCCTGTGGTTGGAGGACTGTGTGACAACAAGAGAAGTGTTCTGGCATGGCTGAAACACCCTTGTTAAAAGGCCTCCTGTCAGTAGCAGGCATGACTGACTGGCAGAAATCTGGCTTAACTAAGTAAACTCCATTTTGCTCCTCATCCCAAAGACAGGTGTGGCTGGTTGAGAAATCAAGGCTCAGGCTTCCCCAAGGCCCTGCCCTGCCTCCGTAAAGGGAGGAGGAAACCCAGCTGCCTGTGTTGCAAACTGGGCATGGCCCGGGTTAAGCTGTTGGGTAACGTGAGGTCAAACAAAGCCTCGTGTGATGATCGGATGTTCACTGCATGCACTGTGCCAGGAATGGTCAGTGAGTCACACAGCTCTCAGGAAGGTGCCTGGTCCACTTGAAATAGAGAGACCCAAGAAACACCACTTGCTTTTAGCTGAGGATCAGACAGTGAGGACATACGGCAAAGTCACCCAGATGCTGCGGAGACAAAGGGCATGCCAGGCAGCAGGTTTTCTAGGAGACAGCCAGCCAAGGAGACTGCATCTGACCTGTTGTCTGTTTAAGAAATACAGCCTCACTGTCTTCTGTGTTTTATCTCATTCTCATCGTGGGTTAAGCGAGGCACTCAGCCTATTGTTCTTGCCACGTGATAAGTAACTAGCTACATGTAAACAAAGCAATTAAGCTCCATAAGGAACTGTTTGCCCTTCAAAGCTGAAATAAACTTTGCAGTTTGTTTGGGGAATCCAAATATGGTAAATTACCGACAGTTAGCTAAGACCATGGCATTGTTTCCTTCACAGAAAGGGCTCCTGGAACACGCAGCACATGCTGGAAAATCACCTTTCCTACTCTTTATCCTGACATTAACCATCTAAAGACCCTACTGCGCTCACTGCTAGCTGCCTTTTGCTGAGTATCACCTTAGCATAACTAATTTATGATAATATATGGTAATTCTTATCACAATTTATGGTAAGAATAGAGAGAGAAGCTTCTTAGGCTGGCACAGCTAAACCCCCGCTCTTCAGCTGTAAAACCAACAGGCTCCATCAGCACTCCTCCAGAAGAACACCTCTCAGTTGTTAACTCCTTAATCTATTTGGTAGTCAGGCAATTCAGTAGGGAGCAGCACAGCACAGAAATACATACCAACTAATTATTTTCTTATTAGCTCTACTCCTGTTACACCTAAAACCCCTAATCAATATCAAACTGTCAACTTGTTGAACAGAATATGCACAGAGGAAGAAAGAATCCCATCCCAAACATCTCCAAGACCAGAAGGCTGGACACTTTAAAACCAACACACACATCCAACACAAAAAACCTCAACTCTCCCACTGCTAATGTGAGTGTTCAGCTTTGTAGGCTGAATTTATATATTCATAGAATGCATAGACAAAGTAAAAAAAAAGGACCACAAAAATAAAAACAGAAAGGAAACATTACTAAATCCATTCGGGGCTATTAAAAGCAAAAGTAAATATGCATTCTGGCATAGCACCCATTCTAATGTTCACTTCTATATTGTAAATGTGCAGTTTCTTCCTTTGCAAAGATTTAACAGATTTCCCCAGTTACACACCTGCACTGCATCTCTCTGTGCATCTGAAGCACCTGAGCTGAAGCAGGCAAACGGCTGAGGGAGGAAAACTAGGAACTGGGTGGAAGAGGACATAGTGGACTGTGTGCTGAACCCTGTGTCAGAGAGGTCCCAGTACACCAAGGGGAAGGTAACAGCCTGAAAGGTGATGTCAGCCTTCTGTTCACAAAATTGCCACTGGAAATCTGGGAGTTAAAACCACAGTCATGGTGGATCTTCTTATATCCATTAGTCATGCTCTCCCCAAACTCTGCTATGTGGTATCTCTGCTTACATTGCCTTAGAAACATCCCAGCCTCATGATGAAGTTACTAGATAAATTGTGAGTTTTGAAATACAGCTAGACAAAGATTAAGAAAACAAACTGTCTTACTATTTATTGTAGTGCTGTAACACGCACATCTCCATCTCTGACGAAGTGAAAAACACAATTTTGTGCAACAGAATGGCAAGGACAACTGCTGGGAGGCTGAAATGGCTTGTTATGGTGGTGTTATCCAACTGACATATAGCTGTGGGAGACTGGGACATAGGCTGTGCAGGTGCTCTTTCCAGTATATTAACAGAAGAAGTACAACTTACATATTAAAAAAACAACCAAAAAGAACCCAAAAACCAAACCAAACCAAACCAACAAACAAAAAAACCCCAACAAAAACACAACAAAAAACCCCAAAACAACGACAAAAAAACCCCACCTCTAATTTGATTCACTTTATAAATTCTGAGTGCCAACATGGAAGGCATGACCAGGATAAAAAAGATAAAAATAGCCTTAAATTCTTCCTGAGAATCACCCACCCTCATCAATACTACTCGCCATCAGATTTTTACAACTTACCTTCTCTATTCCTTGCAAATACTTATGGGCACACCTTCAAAGCTGCCCATGTACAATGGAAAATTTCTGAGCATCCTATGTAAGAAGCAACAGTGCCAGGAACACACAAAAAAACCATTCAACTGTTTCTAAATCAAAGTCCAGATCAAGTGCTTCTTTTCTGTCCCTCAGGTTTCTACTTTTTTGACTACTGAAGGGAATCCTTCATTCAGCAGAGACAAAAAGGCCTAAAGCTGCTTCTTGAGATTTATCTTAGGGTGGGATAAGTTGGGAAGGGATGCAGGCCTAGGGTGGAGCTTTGGAGACACATAGGGACCTGGAGAGTTTGGGACTCATCCTATGGGAAGATCAAGTTAACCCAGAAGAGATAGAAAGCTGTGAAGGGCTAGACTCCAAAGCCAGGGGTGAGAGGGCCTGGGACAGACTGTAGGACAGTAGTTGGTTCCTAGTCTCAGTTAAACTGGGGTCTAGGGAAAGGTCCAATTCTTCTTACAGCCTACACAGGAACAATATATGAGGTCTGCAGCTTTCTTGTAACAGTGTAATTGCAGTATAGGAATTCTGATTGTGAAGGACTTGAGAT